ACGTAAAAACTGGCTGCATGCACTGTGCAGTCAAAGTAAATAGTACCACATCATAGCAACTACGCATGACATGGCTTATTAAAGCCAAAATACCAGCTATTAGTTGATCGGGTCAGCATTAACATTGTTCCGTGGCTTTCTGCAGTGATGTGTGAAATGATATGGAGAACAGGGTTCTTAGGAACCAAATCCTGCAAATCCCGCCATAGGTTCCCAGTCTTCATGACTCGCACAGGGTCAGAATTATTCAACAAATCAGCGAGCTATTCCCCAGAGACTTTTCTTGCTGACAGCTTTAAACAAGCACAAGTTTCTCTCTTTCCTTGGGAGGCTGATTTTTCCTCTCTGCCTCAGAATCCTCTATTTGATACTCTAAACCACCAGTACTTCACTTTATGGGAGATTCATCTGACGCAGAGATATGATTTATGCTCTGACTTCTCTGAAAAATAGTTTTTGGGGTTTGCTCTCAGTTGGCAGTTCTGTTTGAATTAAATAAAACAATTTAAAATGGCTTCATTCTTGTTTATTACTGGCATTTAAGACCAGGATGACACCACTGAAAGCACTTCATAACTGACGACATTGCTAAGGCCACTTTCTCAAAAAATAGTGATTTTCTTTTGAGAACGTTGATGCAGGTAATTGCTGTACACGTGTCATTTTTAGCAGATATCTCCTATAATTTATACAACCCGTCTGCCACTATTGATCCTGCAAAGACAGCACTCCAAAGGATCAATCCCATCTTCTGCGCCATTTTCTCAGAATCCAGAGGAAACATTATGGATTTTTAAAATAGATTATGACAGGCAGTCAGCCAGGGTGACAAATGGGGAGCATCTTCGGAGGCCGTTAGCTGTGTGCAGGGCAGAGAGGACAGGGGAATCGAAGCCCTGGTCAAATACAGGTTCATAACTGGCCCATCATTAGTCCAGGCAAGAGAGTTAGCCAAGCTCAGTGAGTATCCAGCCTTTGCTGTTCTCCACACCCCCGCGTGGGGGGCAATTTGGCGCTGGGCTGCTCTTCGGTGAGGGCCTTCTGAGTGACGGCCCTGACACGATCATTTATCAAAGCCTGGGAGCGCGCCGTGCTCAGGGGTCCCCTCTGAACTGATTGCAGCACGAGCTGGAAAAGTGGAAGCGCTTTGGCCAAGACAGGAAGGCAATGAACAATCAGAGCGTGTCCAGAGAGTATTCATATTTCCAGGCTTGGATTAATGTGCCTTTAGATAAACATACAACTGCAGGCAACTCGCTGGAGGAGCCAGCCTCACACTGCCCCAGGAGAAAACTTGTAGTTACATGACACCGGCGACACTGTTTATTAAAATAGACTGATGTGTTGTTTATGCACTTTCCATTGGCCCTTGTACTTCCCATTACCATTCACTTATAACATGTCTTTCAAAGTTAGCCTGTGATTAGTAATCATATTATAAATATGCATCATATTTGTTTAGAAGAAAGTTGTCCATTGCTTCCTGTTTAATTACTGAGCCTTAGAGACCCAGTATTGGCATTTGTAACAGGAGTTAAAAGCAAAACATATTATAGATTTCTCTTTTTTTGTGTATTTTCAGGAGTTGGAGGATGTGTTCAGCCACTGGCCTCAGCTGCTTCAAATGGATTTGAGTGGTAACCCTGTGTGTAAAAAACCAAAGTACAGGGACCGCCTGATAACCGCGTGTAAAAGCCTCGGTGAGATATTATTCATTTTCTTGCTCAATGGCATCCTGATCTGAAAATGCACTTTATTGCTTTGATTAGCCAGGCTAATAATGAAGTCACTGCTTAATGATACAAGTAAATATATACACTGTTCACTTTTCAATTTCAAATAAAATTTCTGTTTGTTTCATTGATTTGTGTAGTTGTTCTCAATGGCAGGGAAATTAATGAGTTAACCAGACAGTTCCTTATTAACTGGAAAGCATCCAAAGAGGCCAAGAAGAAGAAAATCAACAAACATATGATAACCGGGCCGTTGATCCCCTATCCCTTAACAAGTAAGTCACTAAATTCTGTTTTTTAAACTACTGTAACGTCTCACATTTTCACAATTATGTTCTAATCGATGGGGTATATTACTGTTTTGCCTTGAATTAAATTTTCCTACTTTGTATTCAGTGTTATTTGATTTTGCTTGGTCACATCTTAGTTACATCCATTCTTTATTTTTGTGCACTCAAAATGTGATAATATGGATAGCCACAATATTATGAAACAGTTACATCCACATAATATATTTGAATTTTTTAGTTAAATGTGGAAACCACTAAAAAAGGGTCAATTGGATTTTTAAGAACTTACACAGTATTTTCTGTCATTATTACGTTTACTGCGTTACGCTGGGTGGCTTTCTTTACATTTGAATTTGTGTGTGTGTATATGTATGTAAGTCTTCTGGTGTGACTTTGTTTATATTCCAGATAACTTCAACATGGGTCAGGGTCCACATCCTGGTCACAGCTACAGCAAGGCTAACATGCAGAGATGGTATCCACAGCAGTCTCTCAGGTCCAGTATCATAGTTCACACAGATCTCCGTTAACGCGAGACAGTAAATATTTTTGACTTTACTAAATTATTTAACCGTAGATTAAATTCTCAGTGTTATGAGCAGCTGTCATACAGGATTTGCATGCTGTACGATGAAATGTACAAATTTAGAGCGATGACAACCCACATCCTGATCCATCTTACAATTCTCACCAAAATAAATGTTTAGTTTTATTGTGAAGTGGTATCAGTTATTTAATATCAGTATGTTATTTTAATTCCTCTCATTCTTCCTCCTTGTCAACTTTCTTGCTCTTTTATGTAATATTGTTTTCTTGATTAGCAGTGTCACAGCACTGTCAATCTCTATTAAATATTCACTCAGTTTAAGGCCACAATATAACCGTAAGAGAAATGTTCTGATTGTTAACTCCACGTCCTGATAATGCCTGTTCTTTTTCTCTGATAGGACACACAACTTAAAGATTGCTATGAGTGGACTTCTCAATCATATGGCTGTCTCATCTCCCATCTGCAGTCATGTGGATGCCTAAGAAAACCACTAAAATGTCCGCCTCTTCCACACACACAAATTAGCAAGAGCCCAGGACGAACCCTGTTACTTCCTGGGTCTTCATGTTGTGTATGCAGTCACTGTCACCCACTTGCTGTGATGTCCAGAGCTGCACTTCAGAGTCCCTGCAGTATCCTTGCCCGAGTGGATTACAGTGGTTTCAGTTTTATTTTTTTCATAGCGTATTTTCAAATGTTTTGATAGTATCACTCTGTTATAACTAAATATACCTTCCTATAAATGAATAAGTAGACTGGAAATAATCTAGAATTGTTGAAAAAAAATAAAGAAATGAAAGAGTAAAACAATGAATTCATGAATGGCGCACAGTTATTTCCCTCACTTTCACAGCTGGTTTCTTTCTAATTGCATTTTTGGGGTCTGGGGATAAAAAAAATAATCTATCCAGCTGAAACGTTTACTTGCTGATAGTCCTACATTTTCTATGGTGTGTGTCATTTTTCTTCTGCATGCGTTCTGGCAAATAAGTCAACCGGGAGATGCAGAGTGGCACAATCTAAATGACCACTCTGCCCTGCCATTACAAGGCTTTTCATTATCTAAAGCTAACAACGTAAGCTTCTGTTCAAACAACTGTGATAAATGGTTCAGTCCTCAGTACGGATGTATTTATTGTGATCATTGCTACTAAATGTTTGAATGAGTTGTTTGGGAGCCACGTGGGTGTGTAACCCCTGAAAGATGCTGGGTTATTAGGGAAACAAGCTTACTTAACCTCCTTTTTACTTCGCCTTGTAATTAGTGGCCCGGAGCAATACTGTTACTCCATCCTTACAAAAACAATGTTTATTAAGAACAGTCCGAGGATATACATATTATGAATAATTCCTTTCATTAATTTGCCGACATCTCCGTTTGGAGCCCTGGAAATCAGAGTGATTAATTTATGAGTCTCCCAAGAATTTCCTCAATGCCTGCCTGTTGATTGCAGTGCAGGAGTTTATTTATTAGCTGTTCCAATGAGCTTGCAATTCAAGACACCCCAGCAATTAGTCAAATGTTTTGCATATCACCTTACACTTGTCAGCTTGTCTTCAAGGTCTATTGCAAATCGCGTTTTTAAAGACTAACCTTTTATATCGGACCATGACGAGCACATTTTTGAGGTAATTTTGACTAACCTTCTTCCTGTTGCCACTTTTTGATAGGCTTATAAAGAAAATACAGTGTCAGATTCGCAGCCAATTAGAGTGGGATATGGCCTACCACATATCAGAGTTAAAGGAAAAGAGAAGTCCTGCCTCTGGCGTTGAAAACGAGCCTCTGCTGCCCTCAGACAGGAATAAGTTGGGAAAGGGAAAGAGCAGTCTTCTGCACTGTGAGGGAGTGTTACGGGGCGAGTGATTAATTACGTCGGAGTGAAATACTTGTCCACCGCTTTGTGTATCCAATAAATAAAGGGCTCCGGAGACTTTTACGCACACAGGTGAAGTGTTGGATGAGCGTACAGGGACCGCCGCGCACCGTTTCAGCAGACGCACCACTTTATAAGGATAAACTGGACGTGGACTGGGATTCTTCTGCATTGAAGAGCAAATTCTCTCTCCCATTGAAGCCCTCTTTGGATTGCCTTCATGTCGTTTTTCAAGACGGCGCCTTTGAAAAATACCAGAGGTAAACTCCACATCAAACCACCGGCCAGAAACTGCTCTCATGAGTTTGTGCACTGGCAAAGTGCCTGGCAGAGACTTCATTTGTACTGCAGGTCTTTTTGACATGTCACAGAGAAAGCAGCACACATTCACGTGTTTAGTGCAACTTCGGACAGCTGTCTGTTCTATTTGGCTTTTTGTTATTTTGTAGTTTTGTTGAGCGGATGAGCTGTGGACTATAGTGTGCTGGCTGTTAATTTTTGCAGCACCACGCAATTTGACAACAAATATATTTAATAATGAACTGCAGACTAGACTTAAGTTATGGTTTAATAAATAAATGCAAAGGCAATAACTTCAATTAACATATAAATTAAAAGTTAAGTTAAAGATAAAACAGATGCGTATAGACTACAATAAATAACTCCTAAGTTGTCTATAAAATAGTCTTGTCGATTATAATTCTAGCTCAATAAAACGTGCAATATAAGGCCTAGTTAAACTACAAAAAGTGACTTGTGATGTAACTCTGCAGGTCTGTAAGTGCACCCCGATGGTTGGAAGACAGACGCTCCGAATGGACAGCGGTAATTGCTCCGGGGCGGTGGTGGATGACAGCCCTGCATCCAGTCCGAGCTCGAGTCCCAGTCCGGACGGTCGTCGTCGGGAGCTCCAGCGGGCCAGGGTGCTCCAGACCGGCGGGCTCGGCGGCAGAGGACGCCCGGCAGCAGCTAACGCAGCGCGGGAGAGGAGCCGAGTGCAAACCCTGAGAACCGCGTTCCTGGAGCTACAAAGGACTTTGCCGTCCGTTCCGCCGGACACCAAGCTGTCCAAACTCGACGTGTTGATACTGGCCACCACCTATATTGCCCATTTGACTCGAACACTACAAGAAGAAGGTGCGGAGGATGGAGAGAGCACAAAACAAACAGAGGCGTTACACTCGTTGAAAGGGGACGGCTACCTGCACCCAGTGAAGGTCAGTAATAATAATAATAATAATAATAATAATAATAATAATAATAATAATAATAATAATAATGATAATAAAGGTATGTTAGGTGTTAATCTGCTGTCGTTTTTAATGTGATTAAGAATTTTATTTTGAAATTGTTTTTGATAAACAGTGTATGGACTAAAATTCTCACTGAATAGATCTACTAATCTAATCTACAATCTAAAATAATTGCTATTTAAACAGTGATCAGTGATACTTAGTTGATATAACACATTTTCAAAGCATGCAACATCACCCGATGGGCCTGTCTGAGAGGCTGATTTACTAACTAATGAAATGTCTTCACAGAAATGGCCTATGCGATCCAGACTGTACGTCGGAGCAACCGGACAGTTCCTCAACACCACAAACACTTCAGAGTCAGAGAATCAAGGCCCTTCATCGTCCACCTCCCAGAAATAGGCTTAAATCATTTGTATGAAGCGGTTTCATATTTTGCATGAGTCCATGCAGTTTACTGTGGCATATGCCTTATGATTGTAGATCAATTAGCCTATCTGATTTTACTCCCACTAAAGCAATAGGAAGACATTGTAAATTAATATATTACGTGAATTTTATTGTATAGATTTTGAGAAAGCATACGTTATGTTTCTCTGTTGTTATTAATCCTGTTTGCCCTGCATTGTGCAGTTCCATACATGTCCCAGGTATGATATTTGTAGAAATTCCATGGGGCAATGAGCCCGTCATGCTTGAGGTGTGCACTTTGAGTTGAAACATTTGCACTAAATGCATGTGTGAATAACTTAACATCTGTCATGTGAAGTGGTCTGTCAGAGTCAACAATGGAGGCTCTTCATCTCATGTTCCTTCTTATTTTTTTACATGCATGGTTGTAAATGTGTTTGTGAATAAATGACTTCAGAAAGAAGACGAGTCTCCTGAGCTTTTGCCGATAATAGAAATGCAATTTTTATGAGACACATTTAAGAAAATACAAAACCTATAATAACTGAACGTCCTTAATCAAAGCGTAATTATTATTAACATAAGTATTATTAATATTGTGCTGTATTATTAAACATTGACATTTAAGATTGTGCTTATGATCATCGGACAGTCGTTTTTCTTCTGTGACAATTAACATTGAATCAAATAAACCAAATACAGCTGTGGTCTCCGCTTGTAGGATAAATATAGAATTTAAGTTTAATATGTAACAACAGAGAATTCAATTGCAGCAAAATGTCTGCACCTGACTGGAGAATATGGGCTGACTTTAGAGATCCTGCACGATAATAAATATATTCAGCTTATGGTGTTTCAGCTGTGTTTATAGTGTAAACATGTTTAAGAACGCAAACAACAATTACCTAGGCTATATTTGTACAGATTTAAGGTGTAAATATTAGGCAAATTACTCTCTTCACATTTAATATTTTAGTAATTTGTCATTTGAGTGAAAGCAAAAGTTCCCTATTTCTTATTGACGCTCAATAAATGTCTATATCTGCTTAACTTTGTTAGACTAATTGATCTGGTAATTTGATATAACTTCTTAAAATACTGATAAATACATGGGCAAATCCCGACATTTTTTAGATGAATCGAAGGACAGTAGGCTATAAGTTTATTCTAGCACGTTAAGAGTTATTTGGTAGGCTATAATAACTAGGCTATATACCCGTACCAGTTTTATCCGCAGTCAATTAAAGAAAATAAAGATAATCTGAATTTCCACATTAGAATAATAATTTGGCAGCAGCTTGGTGCTTTAGAGGATTAAAATGCAGAGAATGTAATCACGGGCAGTTTCTCTATCTTAAATATCAACCATACAGATGAAGCTGGTGCTGATAACATAATCTTGCTCAGCTGTGCGCTTCGGGAGCTGCAGTGCGCAGCTTTGTGGCGCATTGAAAAGAGGTCGGATCCGGAAATCCCTCCTCTTGTCTCGGAGACTCAACCGCGAGCAGCCACTGCTCCTCCTCATCATCATCGGCTCGGAAAAACTAAGAAGACTGCTTCATGGCAAATCTTCACTACGAAGGTAGGCAGTATAAAGGTGGATTTACGTGTTTCCAAAGCTGTGTTGTTTGCAGGTGGATTAGCTCTTGAACACGACTGTTGCTTGTTAGCTAACAGCTAGCTAGCTCATAGCTCAGCCACGTGGACGAAAGGAGCGGAGCGTAACATTTGATTCGTCTTCACCACGGGCCAAACCAAACACAGGCTCACGTTACTTGATATTAAACATACAATACAACGCTCACGGACGGTCTTTAGTTTGACATTTCAAGTTAATGTCGGTGGGTTCCGTCTCGACGCCATGTTAGCTTACCCACGTGGGGATTGGGTGTGAAATGATCTCACTGCTTCTCATACCTATAAAAATATTTCATATGCAAGCTGTTTCTTGCAGCCTGTAAGTTATGCAGGCGAATTCCGATGTGCTACTAAAATTACCAATCGGGGACTTTAATGCAACGTCATAATTAAGTGTCTTAAAGTACACGACGTCTGTGTCACTAGGCCGGTCTCTTCCCTACAGTAATGCAATAAATCATTCTTTTAGACAGTTCAAAGGGGGGTTAAAACGCCCTCTTTGTCATTCAGCCTCTTGCAGCCCTGACTATCTCTGGCTCAGTCCAGGGGTCAGCAGTAAAGCTGCTGGTCAGGGAATTGCCCTCTCCCATTATTTCACGGGGGGAAGTCATCATGGCTCCCTCTGAGGACGTAAGGTCATGGCAGAGGTCGTGACCTGCTGTTGAACCCGTCCTCAAACCTGCGATGTTCGCCATGCTCCCAAGCTGTGTTACACTGTACCCTTTGACCTTGTGGTGATCCGTCATCTGTCCTCGCCTTATTGGCTATTTCTTAAGTACATCTTATTCATGCAAGGTTAAAAATCAATAGATCACTCCTGAGGGTAATTATTTGAAAAGTTTTGGTTAAGTCACTGACAGACTTCTACACATTTTGTGGGGAAGTACTGTAATTTAAAGTACTGAACTTTAAGACTGAAGTGAAATACTGACCATGTATGTTCTGTTTTTTTCTTCTAGATATGCAGATGAAGATGGAAAATTTGACCTATGATTGGTTCACCTGACAAGGTAATTGTTTTATTGCTATTAAAACAAAATAGCAGGATTGGTTAAATAAGTGCAATGTGTACTCGGTCTGATCCAGGTTTTTTTTCCCCACTTTATTTCAGATGTCAGGTCACCTCTGCATACTACAGATTGCCAAATATTGGTTTTCACCATGTGATCCTTAAGGTGAGCCTTTGGTATTTTAAAAAATCGTCTTTGTGGCGTGCTTCATGATTATGTCAGTCCTGCTGCTGGAATAGTGATGACTTCACACTTTGCCGTTTACCCATCAGACAATAAGATGGTGAAACTGTGACTAACTGAATCACCAGCGTAATTGGATCCATCAGGACTGTTTCCCATGAAGTAGATGTGGATGATATTTCAATCCTCTTGTTTTTCCCCCCCCCTCAGTTGCATCAGATGTTGTGCTGTGGTCAGACGTACCAGATGTAATCGTCTCCTGTGCTGATCAGGAGGTGAGTTCCCTGCTATGGTATTTCCTTTTTGTACTGCTGTATGTGGTTTTCACCACGTGATCCTTAAGGTGGAGCCTTTAGTATTTTAGGAAAAAAAACGTCTTTGTGGCGTGCTTCAGGATTATGTCAGTCCTGCTGCTGGAATAGTGATGACTTCACACTTTGCCGTTTACCCATCAGACAAAAGAATGGTGAGATTGTGACGACTGAATTACCAGCTGCAACCTTAGTTTAACTCAGTCCACTGCACTGTTGTGCCATGGATCTGGATTTTAAGCATTTACTGTAACAAGGGTGTCTAATGCAGAAAGAAAATGTCCTTTTTGATTCATGGAGTTTCATGTCTTTGTAAGAGACAGAGTGAACAATCTTCCTTTCCCTTACAGAAGAGCAGTTGGAGCAGCAGTGGAACGAAAATGCATTTCTTTGCTTCATCTGGTCTGTGGTAAGTAAAGCTCGTACTGAACTACTTTATTTGCTGTCTTTGTCCCAACTTAAACAGGCTGGCTGGTTTGCTTTATGCCCTGATTATTAAGTAATGATGAGTTCATCTTTTCGCCGTTTACCCATCAGACCAAAATGGGCTGCTGAGAATGTGACCAACTGAACTTAAAGACAGTTGTGAAACAATTCAAATCACTTTTAATTCAAACTAATTATATATTACATTTATTGGCAGGGTTACAGAGCCAGTTGACTGATCAATCTATGGGGAGCCTTCTATGAAAGGTAAGAACTGAACCCCACTGTCAAATTGACTACATTGATATGGAATTCATGTTTTAGCTCTTCACACATTCACACCATAAATGATTAACTTGGTGTCCTCTTTAAGTGGTCATGTTTGTTTGTTACAGTGTTGCTGGAGCTGATCACCTTTTGGGAGGAAGTCCGAAGTTATTTGCCAAATTTCTTTTTTGAAATTTGCCTTTCTATTAATAAAACCTGTTCAAGAAAAATGCCATGACTCAATCTTTTGAATTTGTTTCCCTGCTCATCTTTTTACGCCATTTATTTTTATAAGTTCTTATTAAACATACTGTGTTCAGATATTTGACGATCACCATTGCATTAAATCAAAGGGTTTTTTTTTTTGTACACTTGCAGTCTACAACTGAAGGAGTGAAAAAGCAATACTTGAAGTCATTCATTGGGTGTATGGTTGGTGTGATCTTGTGCTGCTTACTTGTGGTGTTGAACCTTTGGAGAGGTCCTACTCCTCTGTGATGTATGTGTCTGCTCCTGGTGCGTAGGTGTAGATGAAGCGTAGGATATTCTGGTGGAGCTCATCCAGGGTCACGTCTCTCCTGTGCAAACCATCCATATCTCCCAGGTCACAAGGAAACACTGCATCTGGTGGAATAACAAGCGCAGAGGCCCCTGTAGGAAGAGGCAGACATCCTGTGAAAAAACCTCTTGAAACAGTTAGCTCACAAAGAGCCCTCATAGTGGTTATTAATAACTAATACCTAGGATCGAGTAAAAACTTGAAGAATGAAGTGTTAATTCTGTGTGTGAAGTATTTACAGCCATATAACGAACACTAAATACATGTACATTTCATAAGACATGTAATAGGAAATTGAATAAGTCCTTTGTTTGTAGTCTTTAGTAGCAATAAGGGGGGGTGCAGTGATTTAAAAACTACCATGCTTGAGAGTGACAGAGTTTTCACAGAGGAGCACAGCAATCACAGCATCTTCCTCCAGTACTCGTGTTCTGAGACATAACTTGCAGTGGGCCTCAGCCAAAGAAATCCTTAAATGAAAACATGAAAAGGACCATTTAATTAAATGTTTGCCTGAGTAGTTAAGGCAAGATGAATGAAAAGTAATTGTGAAATTGTATAAAGTACTAGTCAAAAACAGATTTATTTTGATGGTTTAAGTTCCACATTAAATATGTCACCATGGTGAAAAGGGTTTGTAAACATTTGTCATAACCAAATGAAAAATAGTCATTTGAGAGTTTGGTTTGGGTGAGTTCTCCCCCCTAGTGGATGATAGTGACATTGCATTGGACAGTGACTCATGCTTTCAGACTGGTTGTGATGCACAAAGTGAAGATGGAGTATTAAAACAGCGAGCATTCATTCATTGTAGTGCTTACAGTAGTTTGATTGAGGCCACAGACATCTTGACAACCTGACTCTGTGTCCGTGCTCTACGGCTGGCCATGTAGTAACCATGGATTATTTTCTCTGCTCCAGGGCTAAGCTCCACCTGCAAACTCTGTGCTAGAGCTACTAGCTGGAAAGCATAGAATTAAGAACAGCAATTGCAATTTAAAGTCAATACAGAAACATAATGCAGTATATTTTTACATTTTTAAATTTAAAAAAACAATGCAAAGTGGCAGAACATGTTTTTTTAACCTCCTGGTAGTCTTGAGTAGAAAACTCCCAGCAGGATGAGTCGAGAGGTTGTTGCAGTTGTACTGCCTGCTGGAGGGTGTGGATGGTCTGGGCCAGTAGGGTCTGCTCTCCCACCATGTCCCTACACTGAATGACCAGGCCAAATGCGTCTGCCAGCTGAACTGGTACGGGACCCATTTCCTGCTCATAAAGAGGAGACTGGGTATCAGAAAGCTCTCTAATGTGCTGTTTTGTTAAGACAATCCCCTTTTAAGCCAGAAAGTAACCTGGGATCTAAAGCATCTCTGAAACTTCCATTTGACTACAGTTAAACAGTTTATTGTTAACCTTTCCCCTGCTGAAGAAAAAAAACAATGCATTGATTTTCCTCTAGGGCTCTGTTGTGAGGTAATGTTGTCTGGGCAGGGCACTTCCTTCAAGAAAAGTAAATTGTCTCAATTTCCTGTTTTGTCTGCACTATCTACAAACAACATCTGAGTTGAATGAAAAGTGGCAGTTCTGGAACTGAGTGTACTGTACAATACAAGTTCCACTAATATAAGACACACTATAATTTTACAAAAATCATAGTTTACAGTGCGCTATACAAAGGGAATATAACACCATGTTGTGACTGAACCCACTGCTGTTCCCAGTATGGCACAGTCTGCCCTCCCAGACCGTCGAGAGGCATCCGTGAGGGCCCAGAAGCTGCACTGGACTGGGAAGGAAAGGTGCTGGTCGGCATCCTCACCATATTTCTTCCCTGGGATGAACACAGACACCGTGCAGCTCTCCAGAACTGAGAGAAATTCAGAGGAGGGAAAGAACATCAAAGTATACTGGCTTTTTATGTGTATTATTAAGTGTGTGAATTATACATAATGTGAATTTCAGACAGAATCCTCTCCTTATAACTAATACCACAACTTATTTAATTAAACACTTTGCTGCTCTACCTGACTGAATGGCATCCAACCTGTCCTTTTTGTAACAGCCCAGATCTCCCAACATGCAAATGCCACCAGTGGCTAGCAGGGCAGAGCCAGCATGGATGTTAGCAGTGCCTGCTCCGTGTTCGTCCCGGGACATGGATGCAAACATCTCCCCTGAGGCCTGATGCCTGACCCCACGACATGCCAAGCTCAGGCTGTATGTCATTAGTCTAACACAGGAGTAATGGGTAATGAGGAGGATTAAATGTCAGGTTTCATATGCATGGTGTCCACTTAGGATGTGCAAGGTTGGTTCATTCAGACCACTTTACCTGTCCACTATGAGAGTGTCAGTGGTGGCAACCAGGAGATCCAAGTTGTTAAATTTATCTTTTGCATCTGCTCTAGTCTGCACCAAGCTGAGCAACAAGCCCAGCTTCAAGGTACTGTAGAGGCCTGGAGGAGCCACGTCCGACCCAAAGCACTGAGCCACAATGGCAGAGAACCTCCAGGGAGAACCAGTTGTGGCCTTCAACAGCTCCTGGAAGCTGGCACTGACTTGAAGGGGATCTGTAGGTCGAGTTGTGCAACATGACAGATGTTTCAATATAGTAATGAATGCATAATGTTGCAGGTAAAATATGAAAATTGTTCAGATTAATCACAATATACAGTGTCATGATGTGGTAAGCTTCATAAATGTTATCATATATCTGGGATTTCTGTAGCAGGATTTAATATGAGATCATTTACTGCCTTACACTCTGGCTCCCACGGTTGGACACTGTTTGCCTCTACACTCCAGGTAATGCTGGGCCATTGGTGCACATGCGCAGGAATGCCTAACACCCTGTAGAGTCGACCGATTCTCATTGAGTTACACAGCTCATCTGTGTGAATAGGTGAAACAAAGCAATAACACTGAAAGGGGTTTTTCTGTACTGCCTGGTGATTATTGAAGAAACATGCATGCTACATACAAGCCAGTGCCAAGAGAAACAGAGTGAGGCCTTCAGAACAAAGATTTCTCTGTGTGCGAATTGCACAGCCAGCTAATGAGTGTTCCTTGCACTTATTAACATATATGTTTAGTAACGGGAACCCAGTGTATTGAATTCCTCTACAGGACTGGGTCAACAGAATATGTTAATCCTCGTGCTGAGATTTGCTAAGCTCTCAGGGGTACTGGCTGGACAATGTTATTAGAGGGGACAGAAACACTTAATATCCCACCATGAGGCACTGTGTGCGGCTGGCTGCACAAAAATCTATTTATTTGAACTCTCCCCCACTAAGTTTGTGTTACAAAGTGAGCCTCATTTAGAAAGCCGGAGAAAATTAATGACAAACCTCAGTACATCTGACTGTGTGTAAATATAAGCTATTACAACCACATTATTCAGAAATGGGAGTGAATATAATGGATGAGAATATGATTTTACAAACAAATAATAACTTTTGAAATTTTGAGGCTATTAATCTACCGTACATCTACATCTTCTTTAAGGTTTTGACTTGCACATGAAAACGGATCCTTTTACACTGAAAAACCCAACTGTGCCCTAAACTATTCATTTGTTCTGTGCTATGTAAACAAAAAAGGCAGAGTGCTTCACAGCTATGCAACATAGTCTCTGAAGCTGGTCAGGTATGGTCAAGGACACTTCAGCAGAGTGGCTGCATCCTGACATTGATGCTGGACTCTTGACTTGAAACAGCTCCCTGGGTGATAGGACGGACTCCATCCCTCTCCATATACCATACCATATAGTATGTGACAGGAATGCATATTCAGAGTCCACCGGAGGAAGAGCAACTATTTTGTGCTGTTTAGTTTAGAAACTGTAAAGGAAATGAGTCATTCTTGTGTGCTGCAGCTGCTTTCCAGATTAAAGAGACTTCAAGATGCCAAAAAACACAAACAAATTCAAATGCTGTTTGAAACAGCAGATCAGAAGTGAACTCTATGAAGGAATACTTGCGTTCTGTAGTGTTTATGTTATCAATTTGTATTCTTTGTTGTTTTAAGATTAGGTTCCTCTGATGTGTGAGTCGTCTTTACAGTTACTGTTGTTGATTATGATGTGTTGTAATACATGCTGCTAGTGCACATTTTTCTTCACCAGCCATATTACTTCCACCTCTCTCAAATGGAAACAGGCTACTAGCTCCGGTTCCTCTAACATTTCTATGTTGCTACAAATCATTGCATTCATCAAATACATTTTATCAATTAGTTACGCTTACCTCTGAGAAACAGGGTGACAGACTGGTATCTGAGTGAGTTTTGTTGATGGGTACTTAGACCATCCAGTGCTCTGACATGGATCAGCTCCACAAGCTGTTTGTCTGCCTCCACAAAGACACATTTGCAAACATACAGATCACGGCAATGAACACAGTTTATCTTTAACCTCTTGTACCCTGTAACTTATTCAAACATCTCCAGTGACATCTGATGTTCAGAGGCATCACTCTCACCTCCCAGCACTCTAAACTTTACATCTTCTTTCAGTGGGGAGCTGCAGATCATGCAGCTGAAGTGGTTTCTCACAGTAGCTGACTCTGTGGCTCCAGGTGCATGGACACGAATGTGGTGAAAACCTAAAGTCAGCATCCAGGAAATTAAATCAAATGTGAATCCAAGTTTAAGTCTATGAAGGCTACTTGCCTGAGAATTGCTTAAAAAATAACATTTTGTGCGTTTAAACCCAACTGACTGAGGTCCGTCTTTACAGTTAATACTACTGGAAGCTAAGAAAAGTACCTGTAGAGCAGGGACAGTCATCATTAATGCAGAGGAACCTGGCCCCCTGGGTGTATTTCGTGACCCTCGTCATGGCAATGACCAGGCCCTCCATGGAGACAGGTCTCATCAGGCCATACCCACGAGGAAAACTACAGAGGTCCAACATGTACTCAGGGAATGGAGGCAGGTGTGTCAACTTCAGTATGACATTAACCTCAAAAGGAGCAATCATTTGACAAATTGTTACATGACAATCAATGTACTTGTTCCTATCAGGTGCATACATTTAGTATTTATGGGACTTGGCCTCATGGCTCTTGAACTACACATATTTTGTTAGCAGTTTCCAAGGGGAAGAAACACCTACACCATTTCTTCATACCTGACTCTCTGTGTGTATTTTTTCAACAAGTGAAAGTGTCTTTATGGCCAAGAAGCAAACCTGAATGAGGAATTAGGCAAATGTGGTTAACCATACAGTAGTTACACGTTTATTATTTCATTTTAGCTAACTTTGCTGACTCAGCTTTACTTACAGACTGAAACAGTGCTGTCGCCCTTAAAGGATCATGCAGAACACAGTCACCCAATACAGGATCCACCTCTATCACATCGGAGGGATTCACACTGATACAAAACCTGTAGACCGCCTCAGTGTGTTGGGGGTCTGGCACAGAGGGGGAAAACGTATTAAAGTTGCTACATTACCTTAAATGTAAGTGAGTCCAATCATTTTAGCTTTCTTGGCGACTTGCTTAAGTAACTAATTTCCGCTAACAGCTAGCTACTGTTTAATTCTCCACACTGTAGGCCTACCGTTGAACGGTTTGCAGTCTTCCGCCAGTGACTGAAGGCCACCGCTTCTGTCTAAATATACCAAAACTGATTCTTTCAGCGATAAAATGTCAGCCATTTTCGTTCAACGTTCAGGAAACAGCAGTTTGTTACAAGCTAACATGATGACGTTCAACGGCAACCTAAAAACGTTTACAAGTTGGCGCGCTACCACGTTGCCATGGTGATGACTCAGCAGCGCCGATGGATGAGACGTTAAAGTTAAAGTTATTGCAAGTTATACACGACTAAAGTAATATATATATATATATATTCCTACTATAAAATACACATACACTCTCAGAGTACCTTTCTTTGATATTTTTTATTACTGTGCAGGAGTAATAGGCCTACTTAGTTGCCAGGCGAAGCAAAGCATTGTGGATTTCTAATTTCTGCAAAAAATAAACCAATCCAATAAAAAAAACAACAACTCACAGACAAACTGAAAGGTAACTTAAGACGTAGAAGACTTTTTTTTTTTTTTTATACAAATGTGACCTATAAACCATGATGCTTTATTCAGTGGTCTCTCAAGTAATCCCTATTCCCAGCTTAGATCAAATGTATATGATACATGAGTTTATTTGTACAGTAATTACATGGACAGTGAATTCTTTCAAGTTTTTCAGAAAACTGCTCATTGATTTCATTTAAGGGACAAATTTAAGGCTTTATAAAGGCTCTTTTGAAACCACCAGAAATTACATTAATAGAGGATGTCTGTCCTTAATTCTTAAAAATATCATCTCTTATGTATATATATATTTATATAAATACAAATTGGTAAAATATAAAGACTTTTCTGGCACACTGTTCAAACCAAAATCTGTTGTAAGTGCTGTTTCTTCTCAGCTGCTTGCTTTGGCTTCACAGAACAAGTTCATCCATGGTAGAAATTCTTCCCTTTAGTCAAAAGTCGTTAAGATGGTTAAGGCAGTTGAAGACCTCATTGGGAATGTTTCATAGGAAGGAGTCATCAGAAGGTGGGGCGTAAGAGAAACCCACAAAGGCATCGTCTGCCTCCATTACACTGGCGTTGACTATGGAATGATCTTGAGACCAGCAGACAGAGTTGGGGACCATCTCATCTGTGAACTCAGGATCGAAGTTTGAGATGTCGCAGTAAGAGCTCTATAAAAACATAAGGAATAAAAACAGAGGTGACATTAGCATTTATGGAACAAATACAAAACAAAATGCATGTATGTGTTCATAAAAGGGACTCAATTTGATGACATAAGACACAACAATCAAGTTACAACACTTATCTTGATTTAGAAAACTTACATGAAATTTTGTCTATAAAAATGCATTTTATGAGGTAGTTTAAAATACAGTACTTAATTAGACAACCTCCACTGTTAATTAAATACAATAGTACTGTAAGGAATTCTACCTTTATCAGAGAGGTATTCATTCAAGTCCAAGGTAATGGAATTTGTGAGTCTATTTTATTGAATCAAGTTCAACTGTACAGGTGCACTTAATAAGCTTTTCACACGTATTTTACATTGTTTTGTGTCTATGGAACAGCCAAAATTACTCTATCCAAAAACCTCAATTCACAGCAGATGAGGACATCTGTAACAGACTTGGAGTTAGAACTTATTTAAATATGAATACACATAGGAGTTTTTCGGTTATTCAGATTGACTGAAAACAGTAAAATTGTCTCTCTTTGTTAAAAATCTCCTTCAACATATTTTAATACTCAGCTTTGAATAATAAATTGTATCTGACATGTTAAACATGATAAAATCCAATGTATAACCTTTTATAAATCTGTAATCTTCTGATTCTTCTGATTACTGGGCGAGAAACAAATATTTACCACATTGGGTGTAAATGGGGGAGGGATCTTCTTCTGTACAAGCTCATCCCAGTTGATGGAGGAGAAGAAGCTGTGTGCTTTGATCTCATTCTGAAAATGTAGAATAAATAACAACATGGTTTTGTATTAATAGAAAGTAAAGCAGTAGTGACATGATTTATACAGATTGGCCACCAGAGGGAGCCCAGAAATAGGAAATTCTGCTGTACATATAGTATCTGTATCTGGACATGCTAATGCATTGAATAATCCCACTCACAAAGTCATCCCTAGACCCCAGTCTGTGTGGGCCATCTTTCTCCAGCAGGCCCTGGAGGAGAGACCACGCTGTGCTGGATGCACCAGGGCGCATCGCCAACGGCTTGTGGAGGATGTTGTCATACATTTCGTGTGTGTCCCTGCTGTAGAATGGCGGCTAGGATGTGAAAGGAAAAAGAAGCAGAGGCATGTAACTGAGCATGACTTTACAATGAGGTGCTTTAACATTTTCTACTAAAACAATTTGTCAAATTTGGTGCAGTTTACCAGTACATCATGATAAAACTACAAAGTAAGCAAAAGTAGAGTAAAAGACTCAAAAACACACAAAAAATCACTGTCAACTATGGGCTCAAAGTAAAAACTCACCAGACCGAAGAGCATTTCATACAGCACTGAACCCAGACACCACCAATCTACTGTGTTATCATACGGCTGCTTCCTTAGGACCTCTGGAGCTAAATACTGGTCAGAAGAAGCACACAAACATAATAATATAACATTAACTTTGACATTTTTCTCTACTTCCTGGCTTAAAAAACACAGACAAAATGTATATCAACTACTATTTTTGCTCATGAAAACATATTTTCCTCTCTGGAAAATATGAGTCATACACACACATACAGCAGTATGGCTCCTAGATGGAATACACTAATGATGTAAAATTATTAACCACACTTTATTCCAAAAAGTCTGTTAATGATTATTACTTTTTGACACTGAAGGTGAGACTTCTTTGGAGCACCCTGGTGCAATATTGTCAGAAATCAGACATCAAAATCAATGCTGCCATACCTCAGGTGTTCCACAAAATGTAGTGGTGGTGTCTGTCTGGGAAATGCCTTCCTTGCACAATCCGAAGTCTGTCAAAATGATATGCCCCTTTAAAGAGAGGACAAAGAGACGTTTTTAGACAACATGTGCCGCACAAGCAGCTCATTATCCCCGGGGACTGAGGTTTCTATTGTTGCCCTGGAATGTTGGCTGCGGCGAAGCTCAGTCAGTCCCATTCACCGTTCCCTCACTTTCTCAATAAGGCTACGCAGGAAAATCATTAGTAAGAACTAATCCAATCACACGCATTCTGTCCAGCTGGAACTGGAAATGACACCGTTGCTCACTGGTGGTACAAATAATGACTGGAAAAGAATGGCATTTGTACTGTATCTCTTATGGGCTTATGTAATAAATCTGTACTCAGTGTTTAGTCACTGTAGTTCCATACACTTGACAATAAGTATTGTGTTGTATTAATATTCACCATGGAAAAATTAGGTGGTGTGCCACCCAGGTACTGTATATTTAGTGTAATTGTGTGACTATTACACAGCAGTGGGCTTGGTTAAAAAACAGGAATACTCACTTCATGGTCGAGGAGAATGTTTTCTGGCTTCAAGTCTCTGGACAAAATGAACACGAAGGAATTTGAGTAAATAAGACACGTTGCATTACATATATTCATTTAAAAATTAAACATTTCTGTATGTTGTATAGACCTATATTAATATCTAAATGCTCCTTCAAATACGTCGAAAATAGCAAAATCAGCCTTAAAAAAGTGTAATTTGCGAGGAACTGTACAAGGTACTTTTGTTTTCAGGCTGTTAAAACCCTAAACTTCCCCAAAACAAACAAAAAATGGTAGCGATGGCCCTGAAGACACAAGGTCATATGAATCAGTGTATCCAACACACACGTTAAAGTAATTTTATCTCTACACTTCATCGATGTCTGATATAGTAAAGATGTGTGAGTGTGAGTGACATATTTTAGTTTGATCCTTAAGAGCGCTTATTAAACTTAAAGGTGGGGTAAGCCATTCTAACTAATTTGATTCTAATTCAATAACCCTTTTTTCAACTAACTTGTTATTCCAGCCATTCCAGCCAGGAGTTGTGTAACATCAGATAATGTTAAATTACTTGCCCATAGACATTCAGATTACTTTCTAGTTTGGCAACATATGCTATTGTTGTGATGTTAGCTATAGTAGCAGGAGAGTCTGGAGATGTGTGCTGGCCCTGGGAAACCATCTCATCCTCTCCAAATGTTCACCACTGAGATTGTAGCGGGTTATAACATAGCTAACATTAACTACATTACTTGCTGTGTCATTGTTCGCACTATATCATGGTATTTGTCATGATATTCATCCAGAATCACTAATAAAACATACCTGTAAACAATGTTGAGAGAGTGCAGATATCCCAGTGCACTCGCCATTTCAGCAATGTAGAATTTTGCTCTGGGCTCTGGAAAGGTCCGCTCTCTTTGAAGATGGAAAAAAAGCTGAAATGAAAATGTTCCATTTAGTTATTGGAATGAATGACATGTAACTCATTCGTTTAAATTGAATTAATTATATTAAGGCTTAAAGTTACACATAATTACTGGAATGGTTCTTCAGACACTTACGGGTGACTTCACAAAGATGACGTCCATTTTTATTTATAGTCTATGCTAGCAGTGCCTTTAGCACTCCTCATGTATAATAATTACTTACTACTACTACTTACTATTTTATTTACATGTTACATGGTCTTTGAAGTAAACTTCTTCAGAAGGGCAAGAGGCAGATTTACTTGGATACAGACTGTAATTAGTCACTCTTACACTCACACACACATGGCAGCTTTAAAAAGGCGTATCACACTTAAAGGAGATTCACAGAGGAAGTCACACTCAGGAGCCATTCTGAGTAATGTCGTGATCTCTAATAAGACTTTCACACATGGAGGTGTGTTAACTAGCAACAGTCAGTGCAGATCTGAGGAATTTTAGTAAAGCTGTTTAATACATTTTTCCTGTTACTTCCAATCTCAGCTGTTCTTGACCTAGTGACTCATATCTGGGTGAGCGCATTATTCACAAAACTGAAGCAACTCACTTCTCCTCCATTGACGAAATCAAGGACGAAGTATAACTTGTCTGTGGTCTGGAAGGAATAATGAAGCCCAACCAGGAAAGGGTGTTTCACATTCTTCAGCAGCACGTTGCGCTCTGCCATGATGTGTTTTTGCTGATTGGAAGAAGTGATTTAGTAGAAGAATCATAATTCATATATACATATATATATGCCTGAAATATGGATAGGGTTGGGGTCATATTTGAAAG